AGAGTTTTATTATCCTGACGTTTAGGTAATCGTGAACAAGCCTGAGACATGCGCATGTCTCAGATTTGTTCACGATTACCTATGACTAAGGATTGCCGATGGAATCCGAAACGTCGGGACAATAAAACTCTTGTTCCTGTGATCGTTTCTTCTTCTTCGAAACATACTAGGGCTGTATCTGTAAACAAAACATGATTAAAATTGGCAGAAATTCCCAAAATTAGCATCGATTCCCATAGAGAAACAGTGGGGAGATGCACTGCGCATTTTGCTTAAAAACCCCCCACGGACGACGAAATTCATCCTTTTTCATTCTGATGCTAATTTCCAAATGCACGACATAATCATTTAACTAACAGTTGTAAAGTGGAGTCATTTTCTAAATATTTATGAATAAAAGTCTGATAATGTCCTCTAAACCGTCATCTTTGGGACGTGGTCTAGAGTCCAGCAGAAAGTCGTTTGACGATTGATGATATAGGCTGAAGAAGATTACGGCAAAGAAGTATTTTGAGGCTCATTTCTGGTATATTAGACGTTCACTAACCATATATAAACACCGGCTTTGAGCGCTCGATCTCTTGTCTTTTTCCATAATTTTCGCCTGCCTCTACTACTAGGCCCTGTGCAATTGCACGCGGGTCTTTAAATGGAACTGTAAGACACAGTCAGACGGGCATGCCCCTTAGCATGCTCGAGGGATGCACATTCAACATAAGTAAACATTCCGGATTCCCAGCAACAGGGGATCAAGTGCGTGGCGCAAATCGTTGGACCTACTAACGCCCGATGAACAACGAACGCGCGATCGAGACTCAAATGCTGCAAATCTGGGGTTGAGTCAACCTGACTGATGACGTGCGATCGGTCAGAAATAGACATTACCGTCTCGCTTGCCTCTACGGTAAACCCCTTGCGTCTATATAACTGTGGCAGTTAGGGATATTAGACCTAACTAAACCGCAAAAAAATTCCATTTCGTCTATAGAAAGAGGTCAAAGAGCTTTGATACCTGCTTAATTCTTTACACAGGTCAAGCTTTTGTGTATTGATGGTTAGTGGAAGCACGCTAAGCTTGTCACCAGAATGACCATGGCTTTGGTGCCAGCAGCACGTTACCTGACCAGCAGATAGTCGACCTGAAGTTTAGCAGCACTTCCAGTGTCAACCGCCTCAACGACTTGGTGGGAACGTTTCGTGGAACCGTGGGATGTGATGTGACAGAGCACTGCTAAGTCAACTTCCTCTTCCGTATTGCGGGATGTATCGCCATCTGTGACTCGGACGCAGTAAAATAAACGTGCAGAAACTCATGAAAAATACGCCGACGATCCCCTTATTACGACAGCTCTCTAGTGGCAAATGCAGTGAATTCAACTGGTGGTTGCATAGCTAACTGTCTCGGTCGGCCCATACGCTGGTCAGATTCATAAGAAGTTGGGCTGGTGGGTTGATTTGTCCAATTAACCACACCGACACTCAACATGTGAAATTTTTGCTTCCGCCCGTGAAATCTCTTCTTCTTTATTGAGAAACTGTAAGAACAGTATGGACTTCAACTTGAAGGCCTTTAAGGACGAGATGACGGACCATAGAGATTTAGAACTTGCATCAGCGAACCAAGGTTGCATCCTCTTCGGCAGCTGTGAATGGTCCGGGCCATCACGCTTTTTGGCAGTGGGGCGCTAGTGAACAGAGCAAAATAACGCTAGTATAACGCACTTTACCACACCCTTATTTAACTCATAATAGGGTAAATCGGTAGGCCGATGGATGGGCATGCTGCGAATTTCCGTAGCATACTCGTAAAATAATCTGCACTGTGGACATTTCAATATTGTCTATCGGATAGTTATGGTTTTAACGAAGGTGCGATTTTCGTAATGCCTTAACCAAAGTTTCAGATTTTCCACCAGTATGATAGCTCCTTGTGTTTTTGTGTGGACAGGTGTTGCGCACTTGTCTTATGATTTGAACGTGTAAATGTAGAGAAGACGGCTCCTGCTGACGTAATGTATGAACAATGTCGTGTTCTGAAATTCGAGGTAAACAATATATTGAGATGAACGACGCCAAAGCAATTTTAAGCACACAACCTACACAAAACACATAAAGTGACTTAACCTGTGTTCAGTCGAGCTTATACAGAAGTCAGGAAATTGTGAAAATGGGTTTATTTTGTAGAAGGGCTAGATACCAGTTAATTTACAATATACTTTTTAGTCACAACAGGGCGCACGTACGGGAGGCTATTGAGTCGTCACGTGAAGTTAGCGTAACTGTTGCGTGCTCTTATCAACATATAAAAATTGCTTGCCGCATTTAGGATATGGCGCTGATTGCTCAGGTTCTAAGTCTAAGGTTGTCTGATAAGCAGGCACGGAGCATCAACCTCAGGTCCAATACAAAATTGAAAAAGACAAAGGTGACTCGAATGAGTATTTTGGTTTATTATTTAGCCACATGATGGTCAAAGACACCTAAAAGGTCATTCCAATTTCCATTGTCCTTATCGGTAATATATTTCTGAATACAACTTACTTAATTATAGGATTTCACAATTTAAATTTGAATGAGGTGCAGCATAAAATAAGCAGAATCTGGTTGAAAGAATGTTGAGATAAAAGAGGACAAAATAATTGGGATACTGTGTTTAAACGAACTCCTTGCTCGTCAATTTCAATTGATTTATAGGGGAATGCAATGCCTTTGTAGAGGCTATATCACAAAAAATATACAAAACGTCTTAGCGAAAACGCAATGAAAAACTTTCTAGTGTAAGCTAACCTCTAGTGAGTAATTTACCAGGCTATCCT